GTGCACATGCATCTATATAGTATGCAAGAAACTCAAATGTATAAAGCTACATTTACAGCCAAACATTAGCAATTCAACCTTTTGAGCATGAACACACCAGAACATATTGCATATACACATGTAATCAGAGGAAACACATGTGCCACTGACATGTGTGAACCAGGGCCCATATGATATACTGGAGCGATACAGAAAGTCTCGCAGGGGCACTTAAAAGGACAAATGCTATTACACAAATACACCAAGTACTGTTTAAGACAGATACTGGTATGAATCACTAGAAAGATCCTTTTTAACCACCTCATGTCTTAACTGTGTCTTATGCCTAATTAGTGATCCTATGGTGATTCATCAGTGACAGTAATGTTCAAGATTAAGCTGATGAACCCACTGAGATTGGTTTAGTATCATTCAACACCCCAGGCAAGATACAGACGTGCAGTTAAAATGTGAGACTTTTAACACCACTAATAACCAAATATACAACTCTTAATAGTAAATAAAGATAAAGGAACAACAGATCAGTTTCACAGAAGCAGATTACCTGTTCTGAATACTAATTATGCCTCAACATTTGAGGAGCACCATTTAAAAAGTGCCGACTCATTACTCCAAGCTAATGACGTCTGGGCTCATGTCTTCCTGCCCAGGAGGAAAATCCTTTAAAAAAACAAAACATTTTCTTCATTACCCTGCAACACATGTAAACAATCTGCTGTAGCTCACCCCAGTGTGTCCAAGACTATTTGGACACTAAGGAATAAATTCTGTGGAAGTCTGTGATAGTAAGTTACATATGGTCTCAATCATGATTGCTCCTTCTAATCAAGTTCACATTTTGAGGAAAACAAAACATGTTTAGAATGATTTTGATGAGGAAAACATGAATAAAATGGTTTTGATTTTTACTAATAGATGCACATTGTTTTTGTGCCTGATTGTTGCGGTTTGAACACCCAATAGATAAAGCAAAAACAGTCACAGGAAAGTACAGTATATTTGAAGGTTATATTTAGCACACTTTCCAATGACTATAACTTGACAATTTAGGAATTGTAACAGTGTGGGTGCCCCACCCATATGGAACTCCAAACTCTGCAAAAATATTTCATAATACTCTGAAGTTCTTGTAGAAGGTCCTTTTTGCCTGTATCTCCTTTAAATTGCTGTTTGTGAAGCAACAAAGAAACAACAGACAATCATGGAACAGTGGGATTTATGCAACAGTAATATCTGTAGTTATGGTGACTAGAGACTTTAAAGTTGTGTTGATTTGTTATGGAGACTTGTTGCCAAGATCAGCCCACAGCGGGGCAGGGGGTAAATCCCTAATTTATCATTTCAGCTGAAGTTAGACGAGGGTTGTGTTTTCAACCCATTCTGTTTTTTCGTTTGTTAGCTCGAAGAATGTTAATACATGTAAATTAAAGATGAAAAAATTGATGACAGGATTTACTGCATGTTGTATTGTATGGAGCTACAAGTTGATTCCCCACGCTGAGTACTTTTATTCTCACTGCGCCTGGGCGAAGTGGCAAACAGACAGTGCCATGGCGATACAATGCCTGCTATCAAATTTATCCAGTAAAAAGTCCAAATGTGCCTTTTGCTTTTTATTTTTTTAAGTTTTGGCAAATAAGATGGCACCGATGATTAAGGCAACACATTTCTGCCTTGTTAGCAATACTTGCTAGCAAACAAACCTCTACCTGCCTCACACCTTTCAAACAAATCTATTTTCTATTTATGCGTACAATGTGACTTGATGATCAGACTGTACAGTGTGAGAACATAAATCGTGAGCTTTAGCTTTACATCACAGACACTTTACAGTAGGAGTTGGAATTTATCAACAACATTTCTAAAACTGTACACAGTATGCCCCGCTTAAACCTACAACCAATGAGTTTTTGTGCCTACACGTAACCAAAGTGCGACATTTTCACATCGTTAACCACACAAGCTTTATTTAAGTATTTATTGTTGCTAATTTGACCGCGGAGCCTTGTGCGTCCAAAATGACAAGTCATATTTTGAAGCACAGGGCCACTGACAAAACACCAGTATTTGACCTTATATAGTCTGATGGTACCTACAAACTTATTATAGTTCTCAGAGAATGTTGCTTTAGTGGATTTCAGTGCCTGGGAAAATACCATGAAAGTAGACCATACTGAGCTTCCTGTGGGCATAGTGGCTCAAAAAAGAAAAATAACAGTAGCCAATTTGGGAGAGTCAGTCTCATGAGTCGAGAGATAAGACAGGGGAGGAGGAGGTGAAATATCCATCCAGTCCTCCTTCCTCTCCTATATTTCCCTCTATCTGTGTCATCTTTAGGGTTGAATGATAAGATTGCAGTAACAGTAACTTATCTGTTACAATTATTGAAAAAGGATTTCAGAAGGATTTTAGTCCTCTGCGTCCATTTTTCTTTTTCTTTCATGACTTTATTTATACACACACTCTCCTCCTTCTCTTCTTTTTCCTCCTTGTTACATTTTCCTGCCCTTCTCTCTTCCGCTCTGTAAAAATCAAAGATAGGCCCAAGCTAGTTGACTGTGAAACACTCTCCTCTGTTCCATTACACACACTGCTAACAACGTCTGGAACCTTTGAAGGACGTCAGCAATCACATTTTCAAATTAAGTTAGTTATATTTTGGTGATCAAAGTCACTGTTGATTCACTCTCATGTAAGTAGAGATGTATAAGACACAGCTCGAAATAACCGAACAAAATTATGACAATTAAATCCTCTGAAAACCTTGACACTGTAAGATTGGTGATTATCATGTTCTCCCTTTATTTAAAAGATAATATGTTCTAGAAATGTTCTAACCTTTTAGAATTCTTAAACACTTTGTTGCAAAGACTTTTCTTTTTAATTGCTGAAATTTTGGGCATCCCATCCACATTCATCCCAAATCCACAATGGGAAATGTGAAAATGTCTGTAGCATCAAACCACAGAAAATCATACAACTCAGCAGTTACTCAGCTCATTGTTTTGGTATTGCGACTTGCAACTTTACTGTTTTGGTTGACTGTCGCAGCTCTCATCAGCTTAGTTTAGTGACAGAGTAGGCAGCTGTTTTCTGCAAAAAAGCTCTAATAAACCCACTGTACACTACCTGTCAAGCACAAAACAGCAGACAAGTTAGCGCAAGTGAAGAAACAGGAGTCCAACAGGGGTTGGTGGAGAACAAAAAAAGAGCTAAAAGGAGATAATAAACATAACAAAATTTTTATAGTATGTCCTTGTTGCGTTCAAGGCTTGTTATACTGTCACACGTTTATTTAAATAACCCAACAGGCACTAGCATACAGCATCAACTTTTTAGTATGAGATGCCAGCTTATTATGTTCTTCTCCCCCCCCAGCTGCATTTGCGGGTCTGCTGTACCTTCGCGAGCTCGACCTCTCCAACAACAGCCTCCATTACTTCCAATATGGTGTACTGGAGGACCTCTATTTCCTACGCAAGCTCACGCTGGAGAACAACCCCTGGATCTGTGACTACAACATCCACTACCTGATCTACTGGCTCAAGCACCACCCCAGTGTCTTCTACACTGGCCTGATCTGCTCCGAGCCAAAGGAGTTCCAGGGGTGGCGCGTTGAGGATTACGTCAAGACCTACAATGGGGAATGTCCCAAGGATAAACAAACAGAAGGGACGGATACAGGACAGGGAGGACAAGGGGGAACAGACAATGAGGCACAGGAGGTGGTGGAGGAGACAGGTGAGGGGCAGGGTGAGCGTCTGCCTCGGCCACTGAAAGAGAAAAATCCCAAAAGGTTTGAGATCATCAGGCTGACTTAGAATGGAGGTGTATCAGTGGACTGGTGTGGTTTAGTATAGAGTGAGGAGTGTTGGCTTGCCATGAAGAAACCGTCTTTTTTAATGGAGGCCTGTGGACAGGCTAAAGAATGGATTAATAAAGGTAGACTTAGTGATTTGATGTTTGAATAAAAATGTGACGACTAAAAGTACAATTTTGGGATAAAATCCATTATGTGTGCTTAGGACGTCTTTTTAGTTATCAGCAGTCTCCATCTTGTGTGGAGAACAGAGAAACTCATTTTGGAAAATTAACATGTTCTTAAAAGATTATAGTTGCAATGTGATATTGCTAAGTTTACCTTTAAACCTTTAAACCTTTAAACAAAGATGCAATTTGAGCTTTTTTTCCCTTTGAATTTTTCCCACACAATAAACTGCAGGTGCTCTCTTTTTTCTGTTACAGTCATTTTGATAATGAGTTTTTGGTCTTTTTTGTATTAATGTATGACATTGTCTACCTGTTTTCTGGAAATAAAATTGGGTTTATTTTTCTGAAAATTTTAGTGATGGAGGACACTATGTGAGATGGACATACAGAACTTGTTTACCTATAGTGCCACCACTTAGCCACCAAATATGAAGGGAAGCAGGTGTATTACATCATACACTGACTCAGTATTTTAATGAGTTCTCAAATAGTCAAATACGTTTCCAGATACACTTTACTGGAATCTGCCAAGTGCATCATCACTGATAATTGTCGCTAAATGTGCCAAATTATAAAAACAAGGCCTGAAATAAGACCTTAACAGTGATGATGATGGAAACTTTGAGTCTGTCACTGCCATGGGTATTTTTTTTTTTCTTTTTTAAATTTGGCATCCTAATAAAGAAACCTACTATTGAAACTGCCCACAGGTTACATTTCAGCAGATGAGAGGTATTTGCATCGCAAACGCAATCCTGATTTTGTTTTGTTCTTTGGAAGCCAAAGGCGGGAAACACAGTCTTCACTTATTGTCCACTAGTGCCACCCAGTGTGCAGGAGACCACAACACAACAGCCGACTTCCCTCTTTTTGAAACTTGAACTCTTATTTTGCAGATTCTCATTCCTATAGATTCCTTTTTAGCTGTCAGTGAACGGCTAAAACATAGTCGACATTATAATTTTGCAGAACTTTACTAAATAAGTAACAAAAGATGAATACAATTATTGTATAGTCATAGATTGATCATTTATTGCTTGTCAGATGGAGCAGAAGCTTCATTGTGACAAGACTACACCTGGATAGTTCCCCACAATTGTTCCACTCATAACTTAATGAATAAACATAAAGGCGGATTAACTGTATCATTGTAACAATCAGTGCAAGTCCAGCTAAAGTACATGACTTCCAGTTTAGTGTTTAAATAAGACCTGCCAACTTGGCTTTACACACAAAGAAAGATTATATCCTGGATGGAAGCTTTGTCAGCTCAGTTACTTCAGTTTGACTGTTCTGTTGGCAGGAAGTTTAGCCTTAAAGGTGATTTTTCTTTTTTCCTGTTTACTGGGTTGCATGTAAACTTAACTAATTGTTCCTTGCGGAGTCTGTGCGGTCACGGATGTTTTGAATCACCTTGGTATTTATTGTTGAAGGTAATGAGCAACCAACCTGCAGTTAAAGATTATGTGCAACAGCACAGTGCCCTCTAGTGTTCACAATGAAGTGGTCCACTGAAGGCCCAACAATTTTCTAACTTTACACTGGTTTTCCTTCAATGTACACGACAGCCTTAAACAAAGCCTGTAAAGAGATTTAGTTTCTCACGGAGAGTCAAATTATGTCTGCTTCATCATGTAAACTGATCAGAATTTGAGAGAATCAGTTCAGAACACATCCACAGCCTATTATAGACATTGATGACAATGTGAGACATCATTAGGAAAGAAGTATCAAAAGTCAAACAAAATTGTATAATTCACAGTCTTCTGGCTTGTAGCAGGTCATCTGGGACATTTTCCCCGAGAACACAGAGGTGATCACAGCTCGTCATAGAGGCACCACAAGAGGACACTTGGGTGAAATTCTCAGAGTCTTATTTAGAACAATAAGTTCTGAAAATTCTGCGTTTCAAAAGGTTTATCGGCAGAGTGAAGCATGAAGGCAGCATTGTGACAATACAACACAAAGGTGTGTTAAGGATAGTATAGCTGAGGCTATATTTGAAGCTTTTGGTAGGCTAAACTTATAAAACATTAGGATAGTAACAGTCCGACAACATTTTGTACAGATAATATAACATCAATTAGAGGAGAAAAAACATTCTAGGTGTAGTCGATATACATGAGATTGGCTTACTGTAACTTTACCCAAAACTGATCACCACTGTCCCTGCTGTCTCTTACTCCCCCATTACTAAACATTCCTGGTATGACTTTCTTGTCCTTGTAGCAGCAGCTGAACAACTCTCGGGTCAGGTAAGCCACAGAAAAGTACACTGAAATGATTTTTCAGTACTTTACAATAACTGCCTAAACTTCCTCATTGCAAAGATTTTTGGTTCATTAGGTCTTGCCTGCTACATTCCCCACATCCATGCATCTTTGTATCTTATCCTGTTCCTCTTCTCCAACATTCATGATGAAGAGTTCCCTTCACCGTCTTACTCATCCACTGTCGACTCTTAATTTCCAACATTAGTCATGTTTTATCCTCCCTGTCCTGTCCACATTTGAATCAGCAACATGACTTCTTCTCTGGTGTTGTGTAGGCAGCTGGGAGGCCATTGACCGGCCGAGAGTTGGCACGGATGAGAACTCGAGGTGTGTTGCTGCTCACAAAGTCCTCCTGCTGGATATTATGGCCGTTGCGAGAGAGCAGCTCCCTGGCCATCATCATGAAAGCTTCTTCCACGTTCTGACTCTCCTACACACAGAGCAGGAGACAGAGAACTTTAAAGCACTATTTTAACCACCTTCAATATGTCTCCTCTGTGTTTCATATGTACAATCATTACCTTTGCAGATGTTTCTAGCGCAGCTAGTATGCCGCCCTCCTTTGCCAGGTTACAGGCTTCCTCAAACAGAACCTGACGTTCCTGCTCCAGGTCACTTTTGTTACCTAGATGGAGACAATCACAGAGCAGAGATATGTAAACACAATATTTTAACATTGCTTAAAATATGCAACGGGAGTTCTGTTCATATTATTATCAATACACCTAAGTTTTAAAGTGTAAAACTAATAGCTATTTGTTTTAAATTATTGTCAAAATTTTAAAGGAGAATTAATTTCAATTGAATTCCAAAACACAACCACAGCAAAACATGTTGACACTGTTTTTCTGATCACATGCTCATGACTGAAAAAATAAGTTCCATTTAACATTTGAAAAGTCAGAAAGAAGTTTTTAATTTGATTTTGAGGACTCCCCCAGTCCTCAAAGTTCTAAAGATGAAATGTGAAGTACATTTTGTGATGTGTAATACATTTGACGTATGCTGAGTGGATGGTTGCTGCTAACAATTTAGAGGTCTAAAGTCAAGTTCAACATGGTGTATAGAGTAGTAGAGTTTGTATGAGCAAACACACATTTAGTTGTTAAATTGTGTATTTTTATTTTTTGTATTTAGGTGAGTTAGGTATGATGCTCTTTCCACATAAATTAAACAGTACAATACCTGAGTGTTATTACTATACCAATAGAGGCAGTGGACAATGAGGTTTCCTCATGCAGGTTTAAATCCTGCTTGCAGTGCTCTGAATATGTCCTGTATATACTCAAGATATAGATTTCGCTAACGTTAGGCTCTAAGGCTTTGCTGTAAAAAGATGCCACCTATGTTAATGAAGGCATTTTAATAGCCTCACCAAGGCACTAATGTTCAAATTATCACCTTCAACAACCTTCAGAGAATTCAATGTGCTCTGGGAAGGGATCATCAAGTAATCCCTGATAACTGACACAGGAACCTTGTGCTGTACATCCCTTTTCTCAGCTGGTGGAGATAATCACTCAGCATTTATTAAAACTAAATCACCCCATGCACAATATAAATAGACATAAAGAATTCTGAAAGTTTATCATGTTATCCAGGTCATAGCAGTACCAGCAGTCCCGCAAAATTCAGCCTAAAAATGGTATGGTATTATTATGTTTTTTTCCCCACCCTCTTGCACAACTCTCTTAAAATGTGCACGCACACGTTACTTGTGCACTAACATGTTAACGGTCACACTCACCTATGAGAACCAGCACTACATTGGATGCTCCATACAGCTGCACCTCCTTGATCCAGTGAGTCACTGAGTCAAAAGTCGGGTGTCTTGTAATGTCATAGGCAATGATTGCTCCGTGGGCGCTGCGGTAGTAGCTTTGGGTGATGGTACGAAACCTCTCCTGACCTGCCGTGTCCCACACCTGCATCTGTTGCACACACACACACACCCAGACCCAGACCCACACACACACACACACACACACACACACACACACACACAAATGTTTAGTTATTGGGTTTACTTATTTACTAACAACTATTTCTTTTACTTTATTTTAAAAAACAAACTGAGACCTTTATTTTTTTTAGGCTGTGCCCTGTGTAAACTTGTGTAAACACAAACAAGTGAATACATATGCAATTAATTAAAACACACAAAACCAAGAAGTACAAATTCAAGAGAAACAATTACATACGACATATTGATGCTCCAGAAGATTTCTAAATTGGGTAAGTGACACCAGAGTGTTTAACTTGAGTTTGATCAGCAGTTTGTTTCATAAATATGCCTAAGCCTAACACTAACCTAATCTGAACCACAGGCCCAGACATCCACTTTTTCCAAGCCCCCTCATCAACTAGTCTTTAGTCTTAAATGTGTCCCCACAGGTAGCCAGACTCCCTCTGCAGAATACTCCCTGAGCATCTACCAGACCATGTTGTAACGTGGTAACTGCTGGCATAGAAACCAACCCAGGCTCACCAGCTCAACCTGTTTGTTTATGTTGATGGTTTGAACCATGTCTACTTCTGCTACCTGGATAGCGATGATTTAACTGATTTCTAGTTTATCAAAGTTGATGCACTGCTGTTACAAAATCAAGTATAATACATGTCAGAGTTTTATCTGTGGTTTGTTAGTAGTACTTAATGACTATAACATCCATTAAAGCCAAAAAGAACTCACAAGAACTTCATTCAACTTTAGAAAACTCAAGGAAGGAATCACCCCTGTGCACACAGCACAGCAATAACTGCTGATCACCAAAGATATCAAGAAATACAAAAGTGAAATGTACTCAGTATCTCAATTACTCACAGCCTCAGGCTTGAATAGTAAGTTGGCTATTGTAAGTCGCTTTGGATAAATGCGTCAGCTAAATTAATAAATGTAAATGTACTTTCTAACCTCATGGTTAAATCTTGTGATTTACTGATTCAAAAAAGCAGACGGATTAAATGGGAAAATGAAAAGCCTCTAGACGGTCATATGCTGAAATTTTGTCTGTGAAAACTGTCAGTCATACTAGAAGCGTGGAAACCTCATCATCAGAACTTAAATCTGGGTCTTCATTACATAATAGTTCCCTTAAACATGTAATACTTTTATTATACCATCATTTATGATGTAGGTAGATTAAATCATTCCTGCTGAATTAAAGTTCAGTATATGACACGTTTGTTGTGATTAGACAGGATGCAAATATTTTTTTATCCTGCAGTCATCTAACTGGCTTGTCCACAAAACAGTACAGTTGGTGATGGTGTGTATATGTGTATGTTGAGTAACAGACGGTACCTCCCTCTTGGCTATGACAAATCTACAGGCAAATCTAGTGAGATAGATACCCTATACCTGACAGTATTGAGTGGCAGGTACTGCTGTGTCTGTGTCTACCCATTGATCAACACAGATTATCAGTTTGCACATGAATTATCAGTTCATTAGTTTTTTATTAGACCAGAAGTACAAATATAACATAGTGACTTTTGATACATGCGGAACCAGGAACTACCCACCTACATCTTCTAGTTCCTTTTCTAGCTCAATGACTGCCCAGAGAAGTCATTCCAGGTTTATTTTTGTATGCACAAAAGATCGAGGAGAGAAACCTGAAGGACTGGTCCTTCATGTGAGCAGCTGGTCTGACTTGTTTTGCACTGACACTATAACTACAGGACAACTCTCACTGTAGTGTAATTTACCGCCCACCCCCCCAAAGTACATCACATCTGAGTGGCCCTTCATGGCTCTGACAGGAGTAGCATTTTCCAGTTTATGCCACACTTTTCATTAAATATTTTTAAAGAACAGGCCTGTAACCATGCTATGCAGCCTGTCATTGTCAGAGCCAGCTGACTCTACAACAACTATGAGAAGGATAAGGACATTTAGCAGTCATCACTTGAGCATAATCAGAGTTCATCATAGTAAATGTTGGACTTTTTAAGACCTGTTTAATACCACTTGCAATGCAATTTAATACCTTTTTCACAGGGCCAACGTATGAATCTATAAACAACACCTAATGATACAATTAATTAAAGTTACTAAGTCAACTCTTTTTAAAGTTACCCTGTTAATGGCTTCAGTGACTACAACATGTACCATATTTGAAAATTATATTATAAATCTACTACACCACTATGTTGGGTTGCACATGTTCTGTACTTGATATTTTTAACACCGCCTCAACACACATATGTCCTAAACACTCCTCAGCATCCCTGTTTTTATGTCCACGGCACACACACACACACTAAAACACACCACATACAGCACTAACCTTAACTTTCTTCCCCTCTATATCCACGGTCCGTACACTGAAATCCACTCCGATGGTGTTCTGCTGTTTCTCTGAGAAAATCCCTGACTTGAAATTGTGAACCACACAGGTCTTCCCTACGTTAGAGTCTCCAATCAGGATGATCTTAAACAGAAAATCGAAAGAGTCATCATGTTCAGGCCCTGGGGTCTGCATGGTGGAGACACAGTGGAGTGTGTGCCTTTTATCTGTGGATGTTTAACTTGTGAGAGTGGAAGAAGCAATCTCCCTTACTACTACAGATCACCTTGGAATGTTTGGACTCCAAGAGATGGTGGGTTATTTTTATGCTTGAATGAAGGCTGAGTCATAGGAAACAAAACAGATCTCAAAATGCTATTAGGTTGAGATGTTCCATCCAAAAAAAGAAAAAACACAAAAATTTTTTTTTTAACTCCACAGTTCTTCCTTCCAGTGAAAGCCACAGTCGGTCACCAGGTTAGATTTCCAGCAGCAGGGTAAATTTGGTTAAATTGGTCCACATGTAGCCTGCAAAACCAGTTTAGGGTTGTGAAAACTGTGTTTGTCAAGATGATTTGAAGGGTTGTTCAAAGATTGGAAAGTGCCTGGCAGTTTTACCCCAATCTCCCCCAATATTCTCTCTGTCTTGTGTCTCCAGCCAGTTCAGCCTCCCCCGCCCCCCTCTTGCACTTTTTCCGGACAAAACTCCCTCAGTCTCTGCTGCTCCTTTCAGCTCCTTCTCAGGTGTTGACCCACTTCATGGCCCACAGCAACACAAAGCATGAATACAAGTCCCATAGATTTTTGTCCCCCTGCACAGGTTCTGGTTAGCTGTTTTTAAAAGACAACTTCATTTAAGTAAAACAGAAATGAAAAAGATGCTTCTCTGTAATCCAGGTTCCTGTCCAATCCACCTGCTGTTCTTTCACACACGTGCCAGTATTTCTTCCTCCGCTGGCTTGTCTCCCTCTCTATATCTCTGTCTTTTTGTCATCAGTCATTCCTGTTCTTACTGACTTATAGTGTGCCTCTCTCACTCACTTTCTCACTTCATAGCACCTGTGGAAACAATAGAAACCCGCCCTACCTGTTCTAGAGAAGTAGCCCAGCCCCATTACTGCTGTGGGATGCTGGGAAATAGAGTCGTTTTGCCAGGAGCTCCCACGCAGTATCTGCTGAAACACACAGAACATTGTTTCAAATTCAGATCAACATCCCAGAATTTACAAAGATGCTGAATTTGACAGGCGGAATATCAGAAGAACTATACTGCTATAGCTATAACCTAGGAATTTAGATTTGTACGTTTTAGTCAAGAGAGTGATAAACAAGCAGATACAGATATCTAGAAGAGCTTGGCAGTGGTGGAATGTAGTACATTTACTCAAGCACTGTACTTGTACACTGTACTATAATTCTATGATTTTTTTCAATCTGACCATGAATTAGTAAAATTTTTAATTAAATAATTAAATATTTTTTCATGTAGAGAACCATTTTGGAAACATTTTGTCATAATAAATAAGCATATATTTTGTCATTTTTTAAATACTTTTAATTTAATCGTTGTTTTCCATGCTGTATGACCATATCACTTTCTGTATCTGCATGTTCCACCACCTTATAAAGGCTACATTATGCCTTTATAAAATTATTATAAATGTGTGTGTATCAGTTGCACTACTGAGTGTACACACATTTGGGATGTTTTGAAGCTTTGAGATCTTAGCAAGAATTTAAATTGAAGATTTGGACAACACTTAGAGGAAGAATCACATTCCTTTGCACAAGCTATGCTGTGGACTTATAATAATAATAACTTACAGTTAGTGGATCATGATTTATGTTATAAGCAAAATATTTGGTTTGCATATGAAAACAGCATAACAGAGACAGTGTAAAAGTCCATTGTGGATGTTCAAGTGAACAGCTTCCCAGTTGACTAACAGCTGCATAAAATGGGGAACACTACACAAACAATAGATCATATTAAGGGCTATGAGGACACTGAGGTCATAGATAGATAGATAGATAGATAGATAGATAGATAGATAGATAGATAGATAGATAGATAGATAGATAGATAGATAGATAGATAGATAGATAGTGTTGGCATTTAGGAAACATGAGCTTTTCATCCAACTGCAACAAAATCTATAGCACTTAAAAGAAAAAAACATGTAACAATGTAAAATATCTAGTACAGATCCCTCTAAAGGCCTGGTTACATCAATCCTCTTTACAAAAAGAAGCAATTTGGGTCAGAACATGGCACACAGTGTATGCAAAATGCCTCAGAGGATCAGACCCAGATTATGTCCTTTATAATTCAAGTGTCATTCAGTCTCTCATGTCCTCTGTATTTGTTTTATGTAAATGTGTGTGAAGGGAGTTTACATTCAACAGTTGAGTCGCCTATTTTTCGAGTCAACGTGTTTAAATTTGACTTCTTTGACTACTGTGAAAGAACATTTAGGCTAGGCCTTTGTGTTTGGTTAACAAAATTAGTAAAAAAGTTTAATCCATCAGTTATCAAAATCAAATGTGAAAAATTTTAAAAAGTGAACTTAAACTGTCTCTTTTGAGTCAAGATCTTTCTGAGAGTTCATAATGCACACAAGCATTGCATCGATTTCTCTTGAAAGAATTCCTTTATTCATGGCTTAACATCATTCCTGTGCGCTAATCCTCCCGATTCCAATATTTCCGACTGCGCGTGAAAGCGGCACAGAGCATCCTCATCCAGTACATCACGGTGACGTCCTGTGCGGATAGATAGATGCCCTTACTGTACAAATCATAGCCATAATATTTTCTTTATGTAAAAGGTTTTAAGCTCGAAAGAGAAGCAGCAGCATGCAGAGGAGCGCAGTGTTCGTGGTGGCTGATAAAACGAGCCTGAAAAGGCCGTTTATTTTTGCAAATGCTGTGCATATGGTAGGTGCATTTCCCTACTTTTGAATGCAATTTCGGCCCATTCGATTACCTTTTGTAGGCTATTATGTGATTAAATGTATGATTTACTGCTGTTAGTTTGACCCAAATCATCAGTCAAGTCTTTAATTAACCCGGACGAGCCTTGTGCTACATGTCTGTCTCACATACAAACATGCTGCAGCATCCATCACAAAGATGTACAATGTAGCAATGTCAGCAGTGCATTTTATTCCAAAAATCTTTGAAGGTTCCCTACACAAAAAAGTGATGATAAAGAAAATCTACTGGTAGCTATATCAAAAAGACGCCATAGTGGTGGTTATATTTTACATTCACAAAGGATCCTTTTCCATCCCTCCTCTCCCCCCAAAGACCATCTGTGTTGTTCTTAAAATGCTAATGTTGACAATGTGTGAATCTTATGCAGTATAAGTCTCGTTGTGGAATTACTGACCTATAATATCAGGTATTATTTCATTTGAAGGCTAACCGTGGATAGCATGCTACTGCCTTACATTAGCCCATAAATGAACTATAGCTTCCCTATAAGAGGTGATATCTGTGAGTTTACCAAAAGGCAGCACAAATATACAACATTTATATAATATATTTATAGGATTGGATACTAATTTCATACACTGACATTATAAACCTAAAATATCAATTTAATTTCACTTTTCATGTCTTCTTAACTTACAGTGGTTTGCAAATGTTAACACATTTTTATGTTCCTTTCTCCATAGGCGTTGTGCTTCTTCATGTTGACGATGACAGTAGCTTGGCATAGAGAACTCGTACAAAATGGCAAAGTAAGTTTGACTTTAGATGTTCTTCGGACCAGACGACAATAATTTCCTAAGCTAATCATATTATTTATTGGCAGCAGAAATGGCTACTGTCTTGTCAGGCTTTTAAAGGAGCAAAATAGTTGCTGGGGAATTATTAATGCATGGGTCTCAGTCAATATTTCCTGAACATACTTTATTGTCTTTTCTCTGGAAGACCTGAGATCAAGCCCTCGTGTTCGCAAGCATCTGCCAGTTGAAGTGTCCTTCGGCAGGACAGTAAATTATATTCAGGCGCTAAGGGTACAGTTCTGTGGCTGACCCTGACCTCTGACCTCTTTTGTTGCCATGCTATCTTGGAAATACATCTGTGACAACAATATCATATTATTATTAGATGTAAGTGAATATCTCAGATGAATCATACTTCTTTAACTTAATCTTTGATCCTAGATTATTTTGTTACATAAAACAATTATTGTTGCTCAGGGCATTTGCCAGTCAGTGCATCCCTTTAACGCCGATGTTATTTTTCTCCTCAGCTGGTTTCCAGTGTTTCTGTAGTGATAATGTACGTCATGGAGATTGGCTGCCTGCTGCTCTCAGTGCTCGGTGTATTTGGAGCCTGTAAAGGAAAGAGATGGTGTTTGATTCTGGTAAAAATCTGCTCTGTGTGTTTTATGTTACTACTGTGTATGCATTCTTGTATCTATGTAGGAATGTAGGACAATGTATTTTCAAAAATGTTTCTCTTTCACTTACTGTTGTTATCCAACGAAGGTTAAAATCAAGGGCAACTGGACTTGGTTGAAGATACTGGAAGACGTTTCGTCCCTCATCCAAAGGAATTCTTCAGTTCTGACTGACTGGCAGGGAAACTCAGCTATTTAACCTCAGTGGGGTCGTTGGCCCGGGTCATCGATACCGCTGGTTCGTTAGTGTTCCTTGTTGCTGTGACGACAGTCGTTACAGTCGTTAGGACTACCTGTGGCCATGACTGAACGACCATCGTTGGTATTTTCACCTGAGGCCAATAGGTTACATTTGTTGAGTTTCCTGGGAAGTGATGAAAGGACAGCATTGTAAGTGGGGGATAAATGGTGGCGTAGACCCCCTCCCCTGTTCAATGACGGCTTCTCCACCCGGGTGTATGATGGCTTCCTTGACACCTCTTTCAAACCATCCATCTTCTCTGTCTAAAATGTGCACCTGGTGGTCCTCAAACGAGTGTCCTCTGTCCTTCAGATGTAAGTAGACAGCAGAGTCTTGACCTGAGGAGTTGGCCCTTCTGTGTTGAGCCATGCGTTTGTGTAGTGGTTGTTTAGTCTCCCCAATATACAGGTCTGTGCATTCCTCACTGCATTGGACCACATACACTAGATTGCTTTTCTTGTGTTTGGATGTGCGGTCTTTGGGGTGTACCAGCATCTGTCTTAGTGTGTTCTTGGGTTTAAAAAACACAGGGATGTTATGTTTGTTGAAAATCCTCCTGAGTTTCTCTGATACTCCAGACACGTATGGAATCACAATGTTGTTGCGTTTGACCTTCTTTTCCTCCTCCCCTGTAGTTTTGTTCTTCTTGGATCTTGTGGCTGTCTTCACAAAGGTCCATTTAGGGTATCCACAGGCTGTAAGTGCCCCCTTCAGGTGGTTCTGTTCCTTCTCTCTGGCTTGGGCGCTTGTTGGTATGTTTTCCGCTCTGTGGTGCAGTGTTCTCATGACCCCTAGCTTGTGCTCCAGTGGGTGGTGTGAATCGAAGAGTAGGTATTGGTCTGTGTGTGTGGGTTTTCTGTAAACACCAATGTGCAGGCTCCTGTCCTCTTCAATGTGTACAGCGCAGTCCAGGAAGGCCAAACTGTTGTTGTGAACATCTTCTCGTGTGAACTTGATGTTACTGTCCACAGAGTTGATGTGTTTTGTGAAGGCTTGCACTTCCTGGCTTTTAATTTTGACCCAGGTGTCGTCTACATATCTGTACCAGTGGCTCGGTGCTATTCCTCTGAAGGAGTTGAGGGCTTTATTCTCCACTTCTTCCATGTAGATGTTTGCCGGTGAGCCCATGGCACAGCCATGCTTCTGTCTGTAGAATAAATAGCTGAGTTTCCCTGCCAGTCAGTCAGAACTGAAGAAGTCCTTTGGATGAGGGACGAAACGTCTTCCAGTATCTTCAACCAAGTCCAGTTGCCCTTGATTTTAACCTTCGTTGGATAACTATGACCTGGATGACTGAGAATCTTCATAGACATCTTACTGTTGTTGTTTTGTTTGTGCAGTATGCAGCTGGGATGGCGGCAGCCAGTCAAACAATAATTATTAGAACAGCTCTAAGTTACCAAGATGTTTATGAGGTATAGTACATGAATGCCCTGTTTTTACTATATGAAATGTCATCTGTAGTACAACATAACCTACAGCTATTTAAATGCAGCTTTAACTACAGTGTGTCTTGATATGCAAAGAAATAAGGCTCAGTGTGATTTCTGCCTCCTCAGAAACGTGTGGTCCGAGAGGAGTCCAAGTTGCTGTCCATGATGCCACTTACTGCAGCCAGCAAAACGAACAGGACCCTGCTGTATAGAATTCAAGAAGAAGTAAGCAACTTTTTTTATTTTTTAAACTTGATGTTCATTGGGCTGACACTTAATGATATACAAATGCAGTGGGGCACAGTAAAAGGGGTAAAATTACTTTCTAGGGTATTTTCTTTTGGTGTATGTATGCCCATTTGTCCATCTATAAATAGCTTATATCTCAGATAATATGTCAGCACTGTTTCAACATCCCCTGAAGAAAGATATTTCCCATACTTATCTGGCATTTAGATTGTAGATTATAGATAGATAGATCACTCAATATAGCCATAATTCCTAAACAATAAACATCTGGTTATTATATTAACCTGGTTCTCTTGGTGAAGAGACAGTTTCTCCAACCCTGTAAGCCCCTGTCTACTCTAATAAACATATTGACAGTGTATCATGAAAAAAGTAAATGTTAATGGTTTTTTGGTCCATTAACATTTAACAAGAACTCGTATTGTTCTTTGCCTTACTTCAGTTTGGGCGTGTTCCATGTTTTACAGTTCTCATAATGCTTTGGTTCAAGTAAATAGGAAGTGTAATGTTGCCACGGAGTCAGTCAGCTAGTTACCTTAGCTGTGGCCTACAACTTGAGTCCAGTTTTTCCCACCCCAATTGTTTACATTTTTGCTAATTGGCACCTTTAAAGGATTGATGTGTATTCACAATGGACGTTGGTTACAATGACATCCCCAGTGTAAAAAAGTATAAATCACACTGAATCTAAAAATATATGTATCTTGTTTGTGTGATCACATTTGAATGAATTATGACTCAGAGAACACACCCCTGAGTAGGCGCACCTCACAGTTTGAAAACCTCTGGTCTAACACAACCCACACCCTAAATGGTTTCATAACCAAGACAGTCCCTGCTGCCTTGCCATACCTGCCAGTGTCCCCTTCCTTATTTAAAACAAGTATAGTTTGATTAGCTTAGCTTGCTAATACAACCAGCAGAAAACTTGTTACTTGGCTCTTCTGTGTTCACCACAGACTACCACTAGCTTAGGGGTTACCTAAGGCAGAAAGAGACCAGCTCTCACACTTGCTGTTAGATGGAAAACTGCCAGATTACTGAAAAGATAGAAAACCAAGAAGGATGTCCAAAGCAGACAGCTCCCCAGTCTAACCTTTTGCAAATGTGGTGCACTTTACTGTAAACTGTAATGCCCCAACACATACACACAAATCACACACAGCACTCAGGTGGCTATTAAACATGAATGAAGTCACACAAGGGCATAGCTGGGCAAGCAGGTGTGTCTTAGAGAACTACTTATTCTGTCATGGAGGAATCATTCCCATGTTCATAATGTTCATACATGTTTATGTGCTAGATGTGTATTATATTGTGTAATGCATTTTGTTCTGGTTTATTTGTTTTGGATTTACTTTTTACTTGGCCTGCATGTGTGTGTGTGTGTGTGTTCGTCACCTCCAGTTTGAGTGCTGTGGTCTTATTGAAGGCTACAAAGACTGGGGCTCTTCCATCCCTGCCTCCTGTAACTGTCAATATCCAGGAAAATGTGTGAGTACCTCCCTTTATATAAGCAGAATATAAGCAGTAAAGTTGACTCATTAGGATTTCTGGTCCTGTAGCCCAGGTGCAATGGATAAGACACATGCTTGTGGTGTGAGCGACCCAGGTTCAATTCCCCACTGTGACTCATCCACCATTGTGCACCTGAGCAAGACACTTAACCCCTTGTTGCTCCAGAGGCATGCAACCTCTGACACATATAGCAATTGTACGTTGCTTGGATAAAAGCTTCAGCTAAATGAATTAATGTTGTTAGACACTTTTTTAAAAATCACCTGGTTTATTTTCATAGTTTTGGTTAATCATTGCTTTCAGGTAATTAACACATTAGTCACTAATTGTATTGCTCAGTATGTCAAAAATATCAGGATGACCCTTTTGCATCCAGTCACATTTTGTAATATACAAGCCAGTACTGTTATCTGGCTATTCTGACCCACATGAGTATGAGCCAGAGGGTCAAAGTTCAAGGCGCAATGTTATGAAGAAGTAGTATGTCCCAATTGTATTCATACTCCATTAGTACGTACATTGGGCAGCTGCAGGTCATACTAAAAGTAAAACAAAAAAGTATGTGATTTGGAATGCAGACTTAAGGACCAGATGTTTTCTTAAAGATGTTTCATTCATCTTTCACACCTATTGAGTGAACCACATTTTTGTCATATTATGTAATGGGATTTTGTACTTTTCACCAGATTCGACTACGGGGCAGTGCCACACTTGGGGCTCCAAAAAACCAGTATGTTTATCAAGAGGTAAAAGATCTTGTTTAGAACATTGTTTAGAAAAATCAACAGGCTTTCTGGTCCAATGAACTCCTTTCTAACTCAAAATAAACTTTTTTTCACAGCCTTGCCTACCGATTTATGTTTCTGAACTTAAGCTTGCATTCTCATTGGCGATGGGGATACAGTTTGGAAGTGGAGTGTTTTGGGTATGTTTTTATACATTATATAAAAACATTATATACAAATATTATATCCATTTACATGTTTGGTAGGACTTTACACAGCTATTTATTTGGATACCAATTCCAACGCAAATTGCTTAATTTATTATGTTAAAATTCAGGCTAGTTTTGAAAAATATAGACGAAATTAACATGTCTGTGAAAAGGGCAACAATTTCTGACAATTACAGTCACTGTGTATGTTGAATTATTGATCTAGTCTTTCATTTGTCTTTCACTAAACTAATACACACAAATAAATACTTCCTGTCATAAGTAGACATATTTCACAAGGGTACTGGTGGTCAGATTCTAGGTCAGCAAAAAAATGCAGATCCCCGTTGTAACCATTACTGAACACCATAGCATACTTGTAACTCTTGTGCTTCCCTTCCCAGGTGGTTTTACTCGTCATGAGTATCAAGCTGATGGGCCAGATACAAAGGAAACAGGAGTTCATGGCTCTTCTCCAGTCAAACAGATATGTTCCTGGTGCCTTCTAGTCACCTAGTATGTTTTGATACACACCTCAAGTTATCATCAAGAGTACCTTGTTTGAATTTGCACATGTAAACACATTATGTTGTATACCATAACCTGACTATTCTGTCCTATAGCAACATATGATGACATTATCATTTTCTTTTAATATGTGGTAATGCATGTAACTGATATTGAAAAGTAATCAACATGCATAGATCAATTTCAAATTACTCTTTGTTTGCCTTACTGCTGTAAAAATAATGCAATTTAATGAAGCTAACCAATCTTTAATAATAATCACATTTTCACATGCTTTTGCCATATCTCTAAAGGTATGTTATCTTACCGAGCATTAACCAGCCACCTGTTTTCTTTGAATAGCTGGTGCCTATCCAGGCATTTTATCTGGATAATATTTGTTCTCTCCATTTCTTCATCACATCAGTGATTCTTTAGATAGACAGATATTAATCCAGCTTCATATATTATAATTAGTTATTATATATATTTTTTGTTAATTTGCTGTTGGTATGGGCTGGAGCAACATTCTGCTGGCAAGATTAAAGATTTTAATGTTTTGAAATGAGTGTAGTATTCATCTTCCGCCAAAACTGCACAATCAAATGGCATGTAACCAGTGGATGCTAATGGGTTTAATTTAACACTTGTCAACTGGACCAACATCTTTTAAACATACATATTTAAATATTCGTACTTGTCTTAAGCACATTGAATTTTCAGCATTAGAGCAAACAATAATCTTTGAACAAATAATAATATTAATAACCCTATAGCACCTTTCTTAAACAGTGTTTACAAAGTGCTTTGATTGAAATGTAATCATTTATTTATTCATCAGGTTAGACAAAGGAATGAGCCACAGCTCTCATTGGGACAACAGAATGTCTTGATGCCTTGTTAAGCACATTGTAGAGTTGAAATTTTATCATGCGATTCAGTTTTTCTTAAAATACCTTTAGTGAGTAAATGACACATGATCATGTCCACTAGGAGGAGAGGGGACTCTGTTTGGATACTCATTCAGTAGACATGCAGTAAATCCTCAGTTATTTCGCCTCCAAAATTTGATTTCAAAGTTTGGAGAAATTTTAGCAAGGCCAATGCAGACAGGTTGTGAGAGGCTCTTGTAGGAAAATGCGTCATCAATAATCTTGAGACTGTAACATCCCAACTGATGCCACTCTCACCAAAGAAGCCTTTATGCCACATCACTTCTAAAATGACTTGCTGCATGAGCTGCCTGTGGTTGAAACGTCTCCTTGGCAAGAATATTGTCAAATGAATTTCTTCTGAAACAGCAGATCCGATGTCTACCTGTGCACTTTAACCATTAATGCCTAATATACAATATGTTCTTGGAAAGTATGTTTTTTTCTGTCATACACTGTTTTTTTAGTTATGGAATGCACTTGTGTAATATTTTGTAAATAGCAGGAATAAAAAATGTGACTCTTGTTCCTTTAATGTATTAGTTTTTATTTTCAAATAGTTTTCTTCCTACATCTTACATTTACTTATGTACAACTGTGTGGTACTTGTACCATTTTATGCTAATTTAAACCAGTTATAGTTACGTGTTACTACAGATTAAGATTTGATTTACAAAACACATATGATCAGCCTCTAAAATAAAATGCATTATTACAGATTTAATTACCCAATAGTATACCAAATACTTTATAACAGCTTTAATATCCAAGTGCTGCTTACACATTAATGCCTCAGTAATAATAATCCAATGATATAATATTTAATAATAATTGCTAAGGCACTCCCTTGTCCCTAAACTGTATACCCTGTACCACTCCTCAGAAGGCTGTGGCACAGCAATGCTAAAGAAGAAGTTTATCACATCCCTGTTATCTGTACTCCTGCCTCATGCCATAAACAGAAGTACCTGATCCTGCAATATTTAAATACCAATGTGTACCTAATTGGATGCTATTAGTGATGAGAATACTGATGCCAAAATATAAATATGCATAGATTATAAAACAGCATAAGTACTACAATAGCTTCTTTGGAAAGTCGGAAAATTGTAAGAAACAATCTTTATAAAAAGTTTGGCAATACAGACATTCCTTTTGTAGTGTGATAAAGATAGTGATGATGAAAATGTTCAAATCTTTCCCGAGAATTGATAAACATCTCCCAGGAACCTCTGCTGTCACATGCCCCAGGATTTGGGAGGTTGCTAATTGAAAGTTGAATGACATATTTGTCAATTTACATCAGGCCTCCAAAAACCCAGCAGCATGAACAACAAAGGTTGAGAGGCCAATTCTGGCAACCTAAGCCAGTTTAGTAAATTACCACTTGCTTTCCCTGACTGTGCATAGCACCTGACAACACCCTTTTTCAGGAACATCTCATAATCTCTGATTTCCATCAAGTTGAACTCAGGACTCATAAGACTTGACAACAACGGACAAAGAAACTGGTACCCTGCACTGCAGAATTAAAATGTACATTAATTGATTGTCTCATTAACAATAAGAAAAGAATGTGAAGTTTAGAGTTAAGATTGTTGATTTGGATGCATGGGCAATAAACCCTAAAATAACAGGAATTGTTTCTTTATATGAAGGAATATTGTACTTATGATGCTTTTATCAAGCATGGCTCAACGTTTTGTTGTAGTGAAACTATTTTTGATGACATGTTTGGTAATTTGGGACATATTTTAAACTGATTTCTTGACCTTAACTGTTTTCTTAACCTTAAATATATGTCTTATGGTTACTTGATATTATGTATTGGCCTATTAGGATAAGTCATAATAGCTTAATTCTGTCCTCACTCCACTTGTTATAGTCTAGATGATAGTTTTTGACAGTAGTAAATAATGCAATTAAATAATGAAGTAAAACATGTCTGACCAGAAAACTGATCATAGCATTTAATTGTGCTGTGCATCTACGTATACATATGCATATATATAGACATATGGTAAATATGTATGTGTAACATGTTGCAAATTAAAAGATCTTACCATCCTTCACTGCTTTATTTTGTATACACTGGTCCTCCTGTTATCAATTGTCTGTCGATGTATAAACGACTTCATTGATGCATTTATCAATTGTTCATCACCGTCTTCATAACATTTATACATGGTTAAATGTAAATGGCACACTAACATAGCACTTTTTTAATCTTCCAACCACTCAAAGCACTTTACACAAGATGTCACATTCACCCATTCACACATTAGTACACTGATGGCAGTGGCTGCTATGCAAGGTGCCATTGCACCCCGATGGCATAGCAATTTGGTATTCAGTATATTGCTCAAGGACACTTCGACATGCAGAGTGAAGGAGCCGATGATTGAATGACTGACCTTCTGATTAGTGGATGACTCGCTCTACCTCCTGAGCCACATGGTTGTATTTATTTGTTTGTTAGTTTGTATGTGTGTAGTTAGTTGTATAAAGAACTTGATTATGCGGGTAGTGTGTATGGAATATACAGTAATCCGTACACACGTCAAGGACTCTTTTGATAAAAGAGAAAATCAGTTGGCTATAAATTTTCCCTTTTCAAAGGGTGGGGCCCCAAGATGAATTTAATCTGAGTTAAATTCTGTTATTTAATATGAACAATGATTTTTCCTGATAGCCGGAAGGGAATGAAAATCTGCTCCTTCCTCTTAAGAATTAAAGTAACTTGCTATAACCACTTCAGTACCTTTGACCATATATCGCTGTTATTAAAGCTTAAATACATCCACAAGGTAAATATTTCAGCAGTTATATCTCCATCATTATTTGGACTATTTGTTGTCCATTGAAGACGGTGGAAGGAAAAGTGCTGAACTGCTGTATACCCCACCTCTCTAGTGTAGCAGAAGGGTTTTGGAGAAGCAAATCTGATGCAATTAATTATATTCTTTTCATTATTCTGTAACTGGGCTCAGACTTGACCTGCAACTTGTGTATCTTAGTCTTCATCATATTCTTTGATTGTCACAAAGATCAGGGAATACTTCACCTTATATTCATAGCCCACAATTTTCCCATAGTATGACAAAAAACATGTATCTTCAGGGTAGGTTTCAAGTTGTGAATGGCCATAAAAATAAATTTAGCAAAGTTGAGAAATATTTCTCTCAACTTTGCTTGATATGCTGACATGATGACCTTAACCATTGTTAAGAGCAGCCAAAAATAAAAACAAAGAAATCAGATGGTCTCTTCAGGCTCTACGAGAACAGCGTAGTTGCCTGCTTTTGCCTCTGGAGTGTAGACCACTGTAGGAGTATCTTCCTTCCGACGTAGCTGACACAAGATGGCAATACACAATGCTATCGACAATACCTAAAGAAACAGAGACAGTTGTTCACTTCCTATTCATCTTTTTATTTTCATCCTGTGCCATTGCATTGTTTTGAATAGTGCTGCAATTTTATGAAGAAACAGATGGGGGCAGAAAAGACAGAGCAGATGCATTGACAGAACACAGAAAGTAGCTGTTCTACTGCTGCCTTGATCGGTTAGTTTGTTTGTGTTATTGTGTTACTTTGGTGTTTTAAACAGTTAGTTTGGATCCAAACTAACGTGTTAAAACAACAAAGTCACAGAGTTGAGGCCGCGGTAGACCTGCAACTCCTTTCGTTCTGCAAGGTAAAATTACTTTTTTTATTTTTTACTTTATTATTGTTTTTGTTAAAACAGTCTGTTGGCTTTGAAGAGAGCATCCCCGTCAGACAGGGTGGTTTGATGGCAAGGTAAAGTGGTGAAAATATTATACACTTAAACTGACCGGGTACTGGATATTTTTAAGTAGCTACAATAACCTTTGCTCCTGCACCATTGCCTAGCTTTTGTGCTGGGACTCCTGTCTGCTTCTCCAAACTGTGTAATAAACTGACTATGGAAAAGTATGTCACTACATAAAATCCGAATTTGCCCTTTAAGTTTTGTAGGATTGAATGAGCTGTACCAATTCAAATTGTTATATCATTTTGAGATATTAGTGGGGAGAGTGTTTTTTGTTCTAAGTTAAAGGAGGGTCCAATGAACATTTTCATTAAGGCTTGCTTCTTTAAAGAGTGAACCATAAAGTTTAACCATCCCCAGTCCCTTAAAAAAACTGAAAAAAATGTAAATTAACTGTGAATAAATATTTGGATGCTCCAGAACAGCTACTAAATAGTACTTGAAGTGAGATTATTTCGATTTGCTGTTTCTGAGGTCAAGAATGAACTTTGAACATCCACTTTTTTCTTTTATTGCTCAGAAAAAAATGGAAATTCAAACAACTACTGTGTCCTCACTACTGACAAAACTCAAGTCAAGTGGGTCAGTTAAAGGTGAAATGGGGATTTTGTAATAAGAATGAATTTCACGATGACCATTAGTGTTTATTGTGAATCTCGGCTCATTCATGTGGAGAGAGTTGGAAAAGTACAGGATAAACACAGAACAAGTGATAGTGAAGTTAGAGTAGATAAACAGGGAGGCAAGTAGGTGGGTACAATTATGATAGACACATACATACCATGAGTAATATGACTCCCAGCATCACGCCCACACTTATATTGAAGAAAGTCATCAGTTGCGCAGTCAATAATGGAATGCATGGCTGAAACAGGAGAGTGGATGAATCAAGTTAATGTTTCATACATCAATTTAAAATATTATAATTTGTAATAAAAATAAAAAAATCAGCAAACATAAAACCAGTGATGAATATGCTGTACTTGTGCTTCATTTTAAGCGGATGTCAAAAAGGCTAGAAACCACTGTTTTAGACTACAGAAAGACTGCTTTGAAGAAACGCTACAATTCAATTATTACCATCGTTCTCTGTCAGGAGGCTTTGAAAATACAGCCCCGTGCAGCAACAAAGAACAGCACTTCACTGGACCCGGTAGCATGATTTCTAATGTGACTCTGTTTATGCAAGACAGACAAGTAAATGTTGCATGTTCCTCAGATTATAGAATATTTCATTTGCTAGTTGGTTTCCTGTTTGATTAAAATAGAGAACTGCTATGGAAAATCACCTTTTTCTTGCATGAGGACATGTTCCTCTTGTTCTACTTTTGGGTATTTATTCAAATACTATTAAGAATCATTTTGTTTGTTTAGGTTTTTTAATGTTGTCTTATAAAATTCAACAATTCAACAACACTGTTGCGTAGTATAGTATATTAAGTAAAAATGGAGACTGGAGCTTTTTCTTGCATTATGGTTGAAACACAGAAACAGTTTATGCAGTTTACACATCAACCTGTAATTAAAATGTTTTTATTACCTCTTTATAAATCATGATGGGCTGGTCATCAACCACATGCTCAAACAGACTGCTGTTTCTTGGAGCTGCCACCTGGAATAGAACAAGAAAACAACTTTATTAACCCCTCATGAGGACATGCAATCCACAGACATGAGTTATTAGCTGAATTACTGATGAACGGTAACAGGTGCTATTGCACCAGTACAGGAAAACAACAATATCTCAGTGTGGACCAAAATGGCTGACCAACTGACCCAACATTGCAATCCAAAAATGTCAAACTGATGGAGATGGGGTGGGGTTTGGATTTATATCAAAGCGGGAAATACGTTGCAATGTCTCGTGATGTTAAGTTTTACCAGTGACTACTAAATATATCAATGGTTCTTGGTTAGTTTGGGACAGAAATTGAGTAGCTTTCACACTCACACATGGATTAGTGGACTCTTCGGTGCACATGCAGGATTTTGAGATATGGTAGTCCCAGTCCTGGTAGCCCTGATCCAGTCCACAACACTGCATCTAAGAAAGAAGACGTAAGGAAGAGGAGAAAATTACAATACACAGAGTGACTTTGTATTTCATCAACTGATTTCCCAAGCTGGGTCTGAATTGTGTTACTGATAAATGTGTTTGTTTTAGAAAAAGACTTGTCCACTCCTTTCTCATCAGCAGATAAGATTAATGCAATGCACTAGAATTTCACTCTTTTCGCAAGATATATGCAATAATGCTGAACAGCTAGTTTAAGTTGCTAATTTTATCGGGAGAGCATGGGCTTCTCTGTCTGATGTTTTCTGTACATCTCATGCTTTCTGTATCACAGAAACAAGGCCAGAGGAGGACTGAACGGGCTCCTGCGGTCCTGCTTAGGGCAAATTCTACTTCTTATAGGCTTTGCCCTCTAAGAGCTGTTGCTTTTGGGTTTGTCCCGGTGCCTATGCACACTCGTGAAGATTTTCTTTCGCGCCCTTGTGCCCTGCACTGGTCTCTCTCAGGCCCACACTAATGGTATATAATAACCAGAATTAAAACAAAAACTGTCCCCAACATGTCGGACTTGCACTTACTCTTGTGCCCCTACTGTACATGCCTTTCCGTGTCAGAGAAGCAGCGGTGACGCCTTTGCAGCACAGGAAAACGGTAATGACGGCTGCAGCTGGGATAAACCTGTTTGCTTCACTGCTGAGGATCCCCTGGATTTTTGGGACCCTCCTAGCGTAGAGGATGAATGCTGTACAGGGCAGGAATCCTCTTACTCCGCTCCCTTCATTTCAGGCTTCCCTCCTGGTTCTCCACTCTTCCCAGTGAAAGAGTCATGATAACTCTCTCTCCCTCCCTGCAATCGGACCTGATGTATAGGAAAAACCCCTTGAGGGGGTTCCACTGGGAGGAGCTACCTCACACATATCGGTGTACACAGACAACTTTCTCTGGATGGGGAGAAATGTGTCAGTCCCAAGTTGTGGGAGAAAAGTGGACCAAGCCTCCAGTTCTCCACATAAACTGACTGGAGCTGCAAAACAAGTGGAAGCTGAATCCCACACTTATGGGAACAGGTTCAGGAATACAGTGAAGGTGGATCTGTTTGCATCACAAGAAAATGCAAGATGTGAACTGTGTTTCTACATTAGCGCACAGGACTATGGTAGTGTGCGGCAGCCTGACATGCTGTTGCACTCTGCTTACTCAATCATAGTATCGGCGACAGATTGCTGGAAGGGATGCACAGCACAAAGGATGCAGCTAGTTTCATTATTGCTACATTTGCCGGTGTTTATGTTAACGGGCCACTTGCTCTGGATGAATTATTTTAGTGATGGGGAGTAGCTCATTATTATAATTTCCCATGATAGTCTAAAGCTTGATTTATAATCCTGCGTAGCCAGGCATTTATACTTATGTGTCGGTGTATGCGTCAGTCTGCAATTACACCCCCAAACGATAGTCGGCGGTAGTGCTACAGCATCCACTGTGTTGACTTTTGCCGGCCTAGCAGGCTAATTTCCGGTTTAGCCCTTAGCTAATGTGAATGGGGATAAAACTGTATACGTGTCACTGGTATAGACTTTTCAAATGTTATCGACCAAATGGATTACATTCTGATTCATTTTGCTTGGGTTGTGATGGTCAAATTTATTGATCCACCGTGTTACAGCCACCGTTTTGGCCACTAGTAAAAGTTACTTCAATGCACGGGGCACTTCCTGTCGGCTCGGAGGCATTGCAAGGCTATGTAAGGCCTGTAGCCTACACCGTCACCTACGCCGTTGATTCGAAGCAGAAGTATAAATTACACTTTAACCTGACACCGAGTGGCCATGTATTTACTAATGATGTTGTGATTATAACTTTGATATTTCCTTTGTAGCCTAGTGTTGAACCACTGGCCAAATTATTGTTACATCTCACACCCTACCCTACCTACATAAATATATCTTCTGCATTAAGCCTGTTCGGTTAATCCAGAAACAACTGGCTTGAAGAAAGTTAGGTTGTTTTAATATGTCTTGTAAGTAGTGTTGTAGTCAAGACCGCCCAAACCGAGACCAAGTCAAGACCACGACTTTTAGGGGCTGAGACCAAGTCGAGACCAAGACAGAGTCAAGACCAAGACCAGTTCCCCTCATTAGATGACACAAAATAAAATAATAAAATGTCGACTTCTCAAACACTCCTTTTCCATGCTGACCATCACGGGTAGGGTGACAGTTGTTAACGGGAACAACATATTTTTAATTAGGGTTATTGGTTCCATTTGAAGCAATATGTTTTACATCCAAACAAAGTTAGGATGTTAACAAATAAATCAGACAATGCAAAAGCAATTTATTGATATTCCAAAAGTTATGGTCTAGACTGGTCTTGAAATAAAATCCCAAGTCCTTAATGTCCGAGACCGAGACAAGACCAAGTACAAATGCGGTCGAGTCCGAGACGAGACCAAGACCATCAAAAAGTGGTCTTAAGACCACCAGTCAATACAACACTACCTGTAAGCCATTGTTTAATTTTCCATTGAACATAGAGATAAGTAACTAGTGGAACAAATGTAAAATAATGTGACACCATGGTTTCGTTTCTCCTGTTTTCCCCATTTTTTGAGTCACCAGCCATCAGTGATAAACACACTCACACACAAACATCCACCAACACAAGGTTACTTACATCCATCTGTATGTTGTTGAGGTTGTCTATAAATCTGTCACTAGCATTAGCCAGCGGCAGCATTTGCAGGTAGTGACCCTTCAGTTCCTTAGCAAACTGCACAACAAAACAAAGCAATGTAAAAATGAGATAACCAGCTATTTAAAAATGTTACTACATGTTTTTGAGTCGCATTTGTTTGTTTCAGTCAAACTAAAAACAACCAGCAGCAATATTTGTGAGCACGAACCCCACTCTGTGATTTTAATTGACTGTATAAACCCCTGAACAGCGATTGTCATATCTTAGCAAATGTAACTAGGCATGACATATAACTGCCAGTAATGCAACTTTACAGGCTTCCTTTTAAAACAAATCAGCTAGAAATATGAGAGTTCAACCAGCTCAGAGTTTTAGCATTAGCATTTGCTTATGCTTGCTCAAATCAGCTAGCAACAGTCGACATTTTAGCCCACAAAATCCACTTCTTCTGCTAGAAACAGAAATAGAGCCTGCTTTTGTTTACCCACTGTTTCAAAAATTGCCATCATTTTCTTGGGGTACACATACTGTATGTGTCATGTGAGAATGGAAACAGTAATAGTAAGGGGATGTGGTTTAGCCAACTGTGAAGTGACCTTTGCTCCTGTCTGAAGCAATAAGAGCCCTTTTCTGTTTATGAATTAGTTCAATCATTGATGCACTTCTGATGCAGCCCGCTAGCTTATATAGTTTGTATGAGTCCTTGTATGTGGAAATTGTTAGTGGGTCTAAAGGAAACATCACAAGGGACAACATATTTCAATGTCACCTTTGTAATTTACCATTGATCGTGCAGTCATGAGAGCAATTTCCGTCATACTCATGTACAGGCTGTTCAGGATCATTCCAACTGCAAACTGAGATACACACATATATATACAGGAATGAGCAATCAGATTGTGGAAAAACAGTTAGGAGTTTCTTATAGTTGTATACTACTACAACACTTCTTGTATACTAATAAAAACAATACAAATTAGTTTTTTCTTTACCCACCAATATTAATGCACACTGATTCTTTTTCTGGGCACCACAGAGACCAGTGATAGTCAAGAGCAGAGTTATGCTTGATATACCATACATGCCATATACGCCTGTGTATGTCATGCTCTGTGGAGAAAACAAACAGATTTCAGAAGATTTTGGTTGATCCTTTCCATAAAGACATAAAGAGTCACATGGATGTATAGGCTTTCATAACACAGAAAGACTTCAGCTAGAGTATGGTTTTATTGAGGGGAGATGATGACTAGTTGCAGGCTTACCTTGTTCTCTCTTGAACTAGTACAATGCCATGGTCAAAGTGGACTCAAAGTTGGACTTTAACCATTTCTTTTTTAATGTTGAGTGTGTGTTTGGACTTATTATTGAGGAATATAAGAATAAAGCTTTCAATAGGGAAAATAATATTTCAGCAGGAGTGACTTTTCAATTATCAGTGATCAGTGAGTTTGCAATTACATTTATGCACACAGTGCTAAATAGCAGCAATGTGAATCATAAAAAAGAGAAGGGGCTAACTTTATGCATTCAAAACACTAGTTATTAGTTTAATGACCTTACAGTGTTTTTGCATGTTTATCCTTTTAACTGAATTATAATTCAAATTCCTGCTGACCATTTGCAAATGCAGGCTGTACAGTTTTAGATTTGAATGTATTTTATTGTCTGCCTTGTGTTTTTATTAATTTCTGTTCAGAATGAAAATCAGTCAGGCTCCACAAGCCTAGTTGTTTTGTCAGTCTGCTAATGGCAAAAATACATCATGGTTAACATGGTTAGAGAATACACTGTGGTAGGCTAAAACATGTAAAGCCACTAATATGATCTCTTAAGTTGGATGAGATTTAGAAATAGATAGACAGACCTCAACCTCTTCATCATCATGGATGGACCCGTGGCCAAACAGAGTGAAGCCCAAAAGCACGACACTCAGGATCTGCAACAGCAGCAAAACACTTCATTATACATTACTCTCAGGGTTGATTATTTTTGTCATCCATTTTTCTTTTACAATAAATCAGTTAATTGTGTAGTCCAAAAAAGCCCAGCCCAAAGTGACGTCTTCCAACCAAAAGTCTAAAATCCAAAGACATTCAGATTCATATTGATGATATAAAACAGCAAACAAATCTCAGATCTTCATATTTTGAGGTGCTGTAACCAGTGAATAATTTCCCCTCAAAACTGCTGATGATTTGTTTTGTTTGGACTAATCATTTATGTTATTAAGAATTGTATTGTTCATTTTGACAAAAAAAACACACATTTGACAAGTTAATAATAAACACTACATAACACAACAACAAAACACAAGCCCACCTAAAAGCCACACAAAGCATGAAATGAGAGACAAATAAGAGGTGAAGGGATCTTAGAATCTCAGAATCTTGTATTGTATTTAGAAGAGCTCAAAACTGCTCACCAAAATTGTATCCCACCTAGAAGCAGTCAATGATATATTGAAGTTATGTTCCCAAGCTAGCTGGAGAAAATGATATGCATCAGGGGCTGTTGTGTGTCTGACAAGTTATTACTTAAAGTGCCTCCTCCAGCTGAAAGGATGGGGCTATGTCTGATGGGGCAGGATGGAAGAGGATATGTTCTTATTTCCAGATATGATGGTCTTTTCCAGCCATTCCCAGCTGCCTACCAGAGAGTCATGTTTATAGGCCCAAGTCAATGGATATTTTGCATTGTATGAAAGATAATACTGAAATACATCTCGAAACCATAGACCCCCCAGAACTGGGTATAATTAATTTCTTGTTGTAGAGGGAAGGGTTTTGAGACTAATCCATTAGTTCTAACAGAGAAAAATGGACAACTATAGAGAGCTTTTACCCAGCTAATGAACTGTTTTAATTGTATACAATGAATATCCGGTCAATGGCTTTTTCAGCATCTGTTGATGCTGCAGTGATAGAGACTTATAGGTACTGGAACTAGCTTCTGGAAAATGGAAAACCTATTGCTATTGACTATTCAAGGACAGATGACCTGGGATGAAACCTACTTGGTCTACAAGATTCACTATAGATGGGACTATCTTGTCCAAACGGAATCAACTAAAGGGAATGGCAAAGAAGTGTAACACACCAAAACGATGGGCTTCACGACTGTAACTTGTCTGTTTCTGCTGTAAGCGCTCTGTGCCAAATCAGGAAGAGAGTGTTCAGACAGCATGTAAAGAAAGTCAGATTGTGTTGTGAATCTACGAATACTAAACAACAAACGACGCTGAAGTTAGCTTCCGATTCGCAGCTTCCGATTCGGCAGTTAAGGGGAAAGTTAAGGGGAACTTAAGTGAAAGTTAACTTAGTTGCTGAACCACAGATTCTCCGTTTTTTGCACCTCTTACTGCTGTGAAAGCTATTATGCATTTTAGGCAAAGCCTTAATGCTGTCAGAAACACTTTTTTAGATTTGAAAAAACTTTATTTTATTTGTGAAAATGACAAAAGGGTGATTTCACTGCTTTCCCTCCACATGCAGACCACATTAGACCAGGTCCAGATCCAAAACCACTATACCTAGAGCTCTCAAATCTGGACTACATTGTCCCAGAGAGGCGAAAGTTTCAATAAAACATAGTTTCAGATTTGTGAAACCTTTATTCTTTTTGTGAAAATACTTTAAAGGGCAATTTCATTGCTTTTTTTGCATGTAGACCACATTAGACCAGGTCCAGATCCAAAACCACTATACCCAGAGCTTTCAAATCTGGACTAGATTACTCCAGAGAGGCTAAAGTTTCAATCAAACATAGTTTCAGATTTGTGAAACTTTTATTCAATTTGTGAAAATGCTTTAAAGGAGGATTACACTGCTTTTTTCGCATGAAGACCACATTAGACCAGGGCCAGATCCAAAACCACTATACCTAGAGATCTCAAATCTGGACTAGATTGTCCCAGAGAGAATAAAGTTTCAATCAAACATAGTTTCAGATTTGTGAAACCTTTATTCAATTTGTGAAAATGCTTTAAAGGAGGATTACACTGCTTTTTTCGCATGAAGGCCACATTAGACCAGGTCCAGATCCAAAACCACTACACCCAGAGCTTTCAAATCTGGACTAGATTACTCCAGAGAGGCTAAAGTTTCAATCAAACATAGTTTCAGATTTGTGAAACCTTTATTCTGTTTGTGAAAATGAAAAAGGGGTGATAGTTCAATGCTTTTTCCACACCAAGTGACCTGGCCCTTTCTAACCCTTACTCAAGATAACACAAACAAAACAATGTATTTTTGTTTTTATTAGTCGATCGCCAATTTCTATACAGAAACTGTAATAAGGTTAGTGTAGTGATAAGGTTGCAATCTGCTGCAGTATATCTTAGCTGGAAATTAAAGCGAGTTACAATGATGAGTGTTAAAGCCACACTTCGCCACAGAGGAGAGCAAGCCACAGATGAGGGGATTCTGCTCTCTTGTCACTAGAAATGATGTAGTATGCTGACTAGGAGATTTTTTCTCTGTGGCCTTGTTGTCACAGAAAAGAAGGAACGACTATAATTATTAAGAATTCCATTTATTTGATTTTATTATACTGTTCAGGCCATTGTCTCTGGTGAGGAGAAGCCACACTACCACCCTATCATCTTCGATGATGAAAACTAGCTTGACAGGATTATGAAATACCTCTCAGACTTTTTCGACAGCTGTGACACCCTCTCTGCTAAAAGGATAAAGTACATTCTTAATGTGATGCTGTCAGAGGTAGGTCTGATATTGTATATAGCCTATATTAAGAGACTTTTTAAAGCAAATAAATTACTTGTGCTAAAGTTCAAACATTGGTAATTATTTTTCTAGTTAATGTACAGACAGTATTTTTTAAATTGTAGCAACACAAAAACTGTGTTTACTTTGTAATTAAAAACATAAATATTCCAGTTATAGGATACATTAGATATGTTAGTGTCATTATTTACACAAACTTGTCATAACTTTTATTCTCAATCTGTCACCAGCATTTAAAATTAGAAAATAACACTGTATCACTTGGAACAAGTTACCCATGGCAGGAATTATATGAATTTTGGTTTGGAAAAAAAAAAATTTTTTGGGGGGGGTCGTCCTACTGGTAGATGGCATACAGTACACTGAAAACACATTTATGCACTAATCTAGATTGTTTTCTATAGGGAGAAGAAAGCAACTAAAATGACAAAATAGTTAAAGGAACATGGAAATGTGGGGCAGAAGAAAAAATGGAGAGGACATAAAGACTGAAGGAAAGGCTGGGACAAACAGTAGCAAAACACAAGTAAACGGAAAAGACACAGAGGACTGAAGGAAAAGAAATCCAGAAAAGAAGGAAAAGGGAAGGCCAAAGGGAAAAGTAAAAGTGAAGACAACATGGACAGGGTGGGAGAACAGAACAGAAAAAAGATGATAGAAAGGAAGGAAAAAGGAAGGGAAAGTAAGGAAAGTACAATAGCTAGATATTTACAGAATGTACGAAGGACAGACATAAAGACGGAAAGAAACTGAGACAGACATGGAGGTTTTGGTAGCACTTAAAGGGCTCCAATAAGGATCATGTTTGACTGTGACTGTGTTAGAAACACTGTAAGGTTAACTTGTGGGCAGAGGAAGAGCAGGGTCTGAAATGATGGCAGATGTTAGTCAAATGATAAAGAAGATGAATTCAATGACTTCTCAATCAAATGTTGGCTGACTAACTGACTAAGCTTTATAAAAAGATCACATTAAGAACCAGCATAGGCTGAATTATGGTGCTTCTAACACAAGCCACCGTCCAGGCTTTGGCATCTGTGAGAAAAATACCATTGGCAGAAGCAGTGAGAGAGGTTGATCAGGGCCAGTTAGAGGAAAGGTAAGAGAACAGCAGTAATTCTTTTGGAAAAAAGATTATCAAGAATAAATTTACCAAGTGACACATGTATGAAGATGTATTGATTCTTGTTCAAAAGGTAAATATAATTTTTCTAGTGTTGTTTTAAAGTGAAAGAGAGGCTCTTTACATGTCCATCACCAATGAAATGGAGAGACGTGGGCTTGTCAAATGAAGAACAAAGACTATGTGGAAAAATTGTTACATTTTCACAATGGAATAAAGATTTTACAAGGACTATGTCTCCAAAAGTCTTTGGCTTCTCTGACATAATAAACTTTAGATTTGAGATCTCTAGGTATAGTGGTTTTGGATCTGGACCTGGTCTAATGTGGTCTTCATGCGAAAAAAGCAGATAAATCATCCTATAAAGCATTTTCACAAATTGAATAAAGGTTTTACAAATCTGAAACTACGTTTAAAACAAACTTTAGTCTCTCTGGAATAATCTAGTCCAGATTTGAGCTCTCTGGGTATAGAGGTTTTGGATCTGGACCTGGTCTAATGTGGTCTTCATGCAAAAAAAGCAATGAAATCCTCCTTTAAAGCATTTTCACAAATTGAATAAAGTTTTCACAAATCTGAAACTACGTTTGTTTGAAACTTTCGCCTCTCTGGGACAATCTAGTCCAGATTTGAGCGCTCTAGGTATAGTGGTTTTGGATCAGACCCTGGTTTAATGTGGTCTGCATGTGGAGAAAAAGCAGTGAAATCACCCTTTTGTCATTTTCATAAAATAAAGTTTTTTCAAATCTAAAAAAAGTGTTTCAGACAGCCTTAAGGCTTTGCCTAAAATGCATAAATGCTTTCACAGCAGTAAGAAGTTAAAAAAAAACGGAGATTCGCGATTTTGCGTGTATCGTTCCAATGTTAGTACATGTGTTACCGGAGTAAACAGAGATTCGGTAGCTCAGCAATGTAAGTTAACTTTCACTTAAGTTCCCCTTAACTTTCCCCTTAACTGCCGAATCGGAAGCTGCGAATCGGAAGCTAACTTCAGCGTCATTTTGATTATATCACGTTGATGGGCATTTGTTTTTTTAAAAACTATTTTGACATTTTGAATAGATCAAACAATGAATCAATTAATCAAGAAAAAGAATCAACAATCAGTAATGAACATAATTGTTTAGCTGCAGAATTGCTGTAAAATACTGTGAAAACAGTTTGAACGTTACACTGTATTGTAATGTTCAAAGTTTACTCGTAGCTCATAATATTGAGTAAGCATTAGGCTACAAATATTTCAAAAGGGGGCTTTATAAGCTTTCACAAAAAAAAAACAATAACAATTTTGCTTATCATGTCCTGCATAGATTTGCTTTCACTGTATTTACATGTCTTAAATTCCAAAATTTTCCAATTAAACGGTTACATTTTCTTTAAACAAGCGGCACCCCTCTATCTCCATTACATGCAGTGCAAAATAACACATTTCTTGAATAAATTGCACTGAACTGAACAATTAGAATGACAGCCGCAGATTTAAATCTGATGCAACAGCTGGCTAATAGCATAATACGAGGTAGAGGCTAATCTCTTTATGTACAAACCTCTTGTTTCATCTATGACCTTTTTTGTGTCCGCAGCAACAGAAAAACACTTACCGCGATCACACTTGTCACGATAATGTAACTCCGATTCAACCACACGTTCACTTTCCCCATTTTGTTTCGCTTGATCTCGCAGACAATATATTTAATGTAGTTTAAAGCTCCCCCCTTAAAGATAAACACTTGCTATAAAGAGAGAGAGGACGAAGTAACCGCTGGCTTCACAGCCCTCTGCTGTTAATAAGTGGTTGGAATAAGGATGTTGTGAAAGATCTGTTTGTGTGGGTGGATACTGGGGAACGGGCGCGGGGTGGAGTGGGGCGGGGTTATCGATCTACCCATTGTACAGAAATGGTTGGCATCTTGTAGCCTAACTCTGGTCTGCTGTCTGCAGCCCCAAATCAGTGTGCTTAGACCTCAGTCCTTCATGTAGCCTAAAGTTTGTTCCTTTGTTCTGAAGAATTCATTGATGAAATCGAAAGGGTGTATTTAATTGGGTCATTTGATCAAAAACATGAAAGCCATAATGGTATAAAGTTAGCAGAAAATGAAACCTCAAGTCTATTAAAGGTACAGTGTGTAAGATACAACCAGAATTTTAATTTTAAAAAAAACATACAAAATAAGACAAATTATGGTTAATCTTTTTAAATAAAACAGAATACCCCAAAATAAAACCCTTTGCAGACTCCCGATCATACATCAACAATAAACACAGTTAAAACCATAGACTGTATAAAATAAGTGGACATAGTCATCGTGCCGTCACCCGTTGGTTTGTGGACTGCCATTTTGAAGCCTCGAGTTTGGCTGATAGGGCGCCGCCATGTTGATTTTCAGCAACCAGGAAGTGCCCGGAAGTGACCATATTTGGACGAGACGGTGTAGCTAACGGCCGTGTGTGGAGCTAGCTAGCTTGCGTAGCCAGGTGCATCTTTAATTCATGTTAATTTTAACAGTGCTGACAACTTTGTCTAGCGAACAACAGGCTAACAACTAAATGTACTCATCAGAGAAACAGCCAACTCCTAATACCCTTTTTCAACGGCACTGGTTAAATTTACGCAGTGCCGTGGGTATCAGTCACTTTAGCGTGTTTCACAGGTTGCCATGGTAACGATTTGTCAATCACAGATAATACCTCTCTCTAGCATACTCTGCTTTATGGTCTATTTTCCTCTAAATAGGACCGTAATTTACTAAATGAATATCATGTTGTATTGAAGAAGACTTGAAACTAGTGATTGAGGCCATAAACTCAATAGGAAAGTGTTTACTGAGGTAATAAATCAGGTGAGAATTAGGGAAACAATTTAACTACGTAGCCTACTTAATACATAACACTACATAGTAGTATTAACCTACATTTTAATCGCTGTTAATGATTAGCTAATTGCGTTCTTTCCAATCGCAATTTCAATTTGAAAACGATTAATCGTTCAGCCCTAGCAATTACAAAGACAAAGAATATGGTTGAAAGAATGGATTAGCACACGCACGTAGCAGGGACTGTCTGTGCTACAGAGAGAGCTGGAGGGGAGTAAGAAGTGTTGTGCAGTGAAAAAGTAGCTGTCTATTCTGCCAGCTGCCTGTTCTCATTGGCTGGATGTAGATGTTGAGTCGGCCGGGTCCTCCAGATATTTGGCATGCTAGATATCTGGCTGGCGTCTGCGATGTGTCAGGGAGCCGTTTTGATGCGTCGTTGAGTAGTTCACACATAATGACTGGTGACCGCAGATCGATCTCTGATTTACCACCGATCAAAGTCAATTAGCCTGATGGTCACTGAACTCATTGACTGGCAAATCGGGCTTAAAACTGTGTAGTGTGAACTAGGCTTTACACTAGCTCTCTTAGGTTTTTTAGTCATAACAAAATAAACTCACAGTATGTAAAGAAAGAAAATATAACTATTTTTCCTTATCAAACTAAAAAATACAGGTGTAGGCCTACAACTAGAATTTTTTCCCTTTCACCAAACTAACCTAATTGCCTTGATGGTAAAAGAGAGAAACAGAATAAACTTGCCAAAACTGTCCTGGTTAGTCATTCCACTGTTCTAACAATCACTGACTCTGCCCCCTTTTGTCTTCATTGTCATCTGGAGTCAGGTTCCTGTTTGGAGCTGCTGTAAATCACCTCAGTGACCTTCCCTGTCATCAAACTGTCCTCCGTCAGTCTCGTAGGCTGTGTTTGGTACACTGGGAAGGTGTTGAGCCCAGTTCTGTTGCCTTCTCCCCCAAATCCTGGTGCCCATTCTGGACTAGGTCCGCTACTAGGGCTGCTAAGTTAGCCACACAGCTAACTGTGTTTACTAGCTAACGGCAGTCAGCAGCAGTTATGACCTGATAGGTGATATACTGCCCCCAATTTTTGTATGAATTTGCCAGATGGAGAGTAGTCTCACTTACACATTGCACCTTTAAGAAGTTTTCGTTAATGTGTGTAACCATTATTCACATAACGTGGGAATGACCACCATGTAACACAGACCATCATCAACTGGAGGGGAAATGCATCAATCTCCGGATCACATACAATGATGGATATTGTAAATGGATTCTCTGGCATTACCTCGGACACACAGGGACAGACTGATAGTAAGACAGATGAAGTAAACAGAGCTCTCAGATGGAGCTGAGGGAAAGTAGAAACATGACAGAGGGGCATATTTTTCCGTTTGATGTGTGTGCGTGTGTGTGTGTCTGTGTGGGCATGTTTCTAGAACTGAACTTGCCTTCTGTCCGACATAAAGCACTTTTTGTCTGCTGTTGTCTTAAATGAACCATACTGCATATAAAAATTAACAAAGGGTCTAGTCACAGCCTGCATAAATGACACACACTCATACCATCTATCCATCTATCAATGCATCTATCTATCTGCAACTCAATCTCTCAATCACACTCAGATGCACATCGCTGCAACATTATTAGTTGCTGGAGGTCCTCCAAAAAGCTTTCCACTGTTAAAGTAGATCCAGACCGGAGCATTTCCTGATGGGACCTGGAAACATCTGGTGATCATGAAACACACAAATGCAGACATCCATATACACACACATACATTCAGCTCTCTTAATGTCCCATGCTTCAAATGTTTCAGTCAACCTCACCAGCGCACATCCACAAAATATTTGGCTCCCATGTGTGTCAGTTGGCGCACGCTCGCACATCTGTAGGACATGAATGCACAGAGGCATTATGTGGCGCAGAGGATGTTGGTGGGCGGAAAGGACACAAAAGGCCAAAACCTCTTAACTTTACTGGAGGTACTTGCACCAGTTCTGTTCTCCAGAGAAAAATGTAATGTACAGTAATATACGGGAATAAAGTTTAGAATGATATAATGCGTCATAAGAGATATATATACAGTATATAATGCATCATAAGAGAATCTCATTGACTGTTATGAGAAATGGCCTCCACTTATCGTTAATGAAGTCTTCTGCAGAAATGTCAATATACTTTTACAACCTCTCCACACTGGTGTCCAGAAAAAAACATGTACTGTATGTTTGACTGAGTAAACACGGTCACATCCATCTTTCCATGTTTGAATGATGTGTATAAAGTCCTATATAAATTTTAATTGATCACTGACAATTAAACCTGGTATGCATAAATAAGGTCCCGTAGTGACTTTCAGTGGTTGTTCTGCTGATCTTGAAAAAGAAGAAGAATTGATATTTCTTGTATTAGTCTTTTTTCCCCCCTTCCGATAAATAATGACTGTTTTTATACTGACGTGATAACAGCATACATAAAGTATTTCTAGCAGGGTAGCAAGGAGTTTGTTTAACATGAAATGGTTGAGAACAATGTTTTGCAGCACAGCTTTGGCAATACACTACAGTTTAATAGCTGAGAGATTGGATGTTGGTGCTGCTGATTGGTACTCTTCAAGTACAAGTATAGTTTCTTATGTGGCTCTGGAGAATTTAGGCGATGTAGAAATGCAATACTAAATCGTCCCCTTTAACAATAGCATGCAACAAAATAAATCTACTGCACTAAACAGAAGTTAAACGCAAGTTCATCATTCACACTTCTTCGTCAAAGGGTTTTTAGAGTAAACATCCAACTGGCTTCACATTGTTCCAGCAGACTTTTCTGCTACCTCCTCTGCTCTCCACCAGCGTAAAATCTAGGGGAAAAAAACATCATTCAAGCATTGTGCTTGTTTCAGTTTTTTATAAATATATTTACCATAGAAACATGAGGTATCAATCTTTATTTTAGTTAATGGGATATGTGTGTTTGAACTTTAAACTTTGTGTGTGCTGTATTTCTGAGATAGACCATGGGAATAAGCATTTTGTTTTGTCACCAACTCCCATTGTTTTTGAATAGTTTGGCTCCTGTGGGGCACATTAGCACTGTTGATACTGATAATGCTGGTTCTGGATCGCTGTGAGGAATTCAAACAAAGTATACTTACTTTATCACAATCAGCAAAGCATGGCGTTTCAGGACCTCATTTGTGAAACGGCAACAAAAACATCACAAGTGTGAGGAGCAGGTGTTCTCTCTTTTTCCTTAAAATGCTCAGCAGATGTAATCCCTTTCCCACTCTTTCAGGGCCTTGGTCCAAAGCAGATGAAAGCAGCGGCACCAGTATGAGGAACAGTTCACTATAAACAAGATTATTGTGCAGTTTGGAACCAGTGGTTCCAAGGTTTGCAGGAAGTTATGTAACTAATCTGGATCTACAACCTTGAAACAAAGTCAGGAAAGGGACCTTCACTCTGGAGAAATATACTCTCATTCTTTTTCATTTCAGTGACGACTCTGGCTGTAGTTTTTTTGTATATGTTGCAGATGACCTAGTGCCTTCTAGGTAGTCTCGAAAGCTGAGTGATGGCAAGGTCTTAATCCACTGGTTATTAGTGTATGCATTTATCTTGGCAAAAGTTGCAGTACATTCCTTAAGTGTTGCTCAAAACTACCCAGACAAGTAATCAGTCTTTATTTTGAGGTGTCTGTGATCACCAAAGTCTCACTTAGAGTTAGCAAATGTTGTTACAGAATGAGGCTTAAGAAAAGAAAGAAATACACTTCAGATGCAGAATTTATGTCATTAAAATGTATAGATGACAAAAAAGGGGTGAAGGGTCCTTTTTACGTCCTTTACATGGAGTTCTATGGGAAGAAAAGCTTGTCAAACTAAATACCAGCTAAGGCGAAAAAAGCAAAAGTTGTTTATTTGTATGTTATTGTGTGTTCAGATTTTGTAATTTAGGTGATACGACTCAG